ACGTGAAAGGTGTCTTCATCTATTACTAAATCATATTCACTTTCTATAGACACTGAAATATAAGTAGTGTCATAACCATTCGATAGCGACTTTCCAAGATTCCAACAGGCCAAGTTCAGTTCCACACATTCTAGTTCCTATTAGCATTATTTCTCAGTTAATTTCAAAGTATTCATTTGGAATCATAGATTGTAGAATTCTTTATTTTTTGTTCATTTTTCGCGTGCTCCTGCCTGCTGAAACCGTTTCAATATTAGATTCTAGAGTAGTCATTATTTTTCTTATCCCTATCTTGGGGATTGTATACAGATCTTTTGTTTTTTGTCATAAACAGGTAAATCCGTTTTTATTATTTGTAATTACAACTAGAATTTACTACGCTTAGATGTTTTATTTCGCGCGAGATTAGCTAGTATTTCATAAAAAGATCTATCAATGTTTAACTCATTATTAAATAACACATGGCTTGGATCATCCCAGCCTTGCACTTTTGGGTAAATACATGTCATACCGAATGCAGTCTCTCAATTCACAAACTATCGTAGCCACACTAGTCGAACAGTCAACGGTGCTTGTTAAAACCTAATTTTATGAAATAATAGAGCAAATATTTTAACTCTTTCTTTTTACAGTTGTATTGAATCAATTCACAAAATTTTAACAAAAACTCTTTAGGAAATTTAAAAACAATAGCTGGCATAGCGATAGCTAATGCATTTTATCTTTTTATCGTTTACTAGAAAGTTAATATAAAATGTGGATCATTTTGGAATAAAAAAAGAATAAATATTTAGAAAAAACAGGAATGGACCTAATATTGAGCCCTGAGGTACGCCCATTTAAATACTAGCACCCCGTAAGGTTACTTATTTACTTATAATTATACATTTAGTTGTCTTTCCTAAAAGTATGACTTAATTTAATCTAGAGATACCTCGAATGTCGAAGTGCTAGCTTCAGTTATAATATCTCGTGTTCAACACAGTCAAAAACCTTTGAAACACCACCAAATATTCCGATGGCATTATGTGCTTTTTCTCACGAATTGAAAACCTGTTTTTAAGCGATACCTACTCTTGCGTCTGCAGTGCAAAGTGCCCTTTGGTGATCCCGTATTGTTTGGTTTTGGAACATGGAATTTCTGTTAAAGTGACACAGCAAATTTTTGAGTCAGCCTAAACCTTTCGAACACTTTATAAAGCACTGGCAAAATAAAGACATTCTTTGACACTACTCCTGAGGAGCTCGATAAAAAGTGCTGGAGAAGATTTCAACGCTCCTGTAGTTTTGAAAAAAAAAAATATCGAACTGTATTTTTATTATGGACAATACGTTAGCAATTAAACTCTTACTACCTGGTATTCATTGTCTTGTATTTGGTTGCATAATAATATTTCATGTTTTAAATTATTATTTAATGACTAAATGTTTTTGTGTTTGATTTGTCTTCGCATAATTTTATATCTTCGGTGATTTAGATATTGCATCCGACGACTTCAGTGAATTAAATATAGAATATGAAATTATATTTAACATCGATCAGTTTAATTTTGTCTTTCAAGCCACCATAAAGCTTGTTAAATTGATGGACTTCAACAGTACACGCTGACAGTGACTTCGACTCTCGTTTCAATCATTCAAAATATTAAAGAATATCTTGAATATCCTTCAAAATCCTCATGTACGATCTCATAATATCTGAAAGAGTACTTGCAGGGGAAATGATAACTTTATGGGACCGATTTTGTCGCAAAAAAATGTAAGTGTCATCATCTAAATTCTTGCAACCGAACATGAAGCGTTACGGCATATTGATAAAACGGTTGTCGATCGTTAGGCTCACTTGTGTGTATGCATTAATTTGTTTGAATAAAATATTTGAATGACATACCTATATTGAACACTTGATTGACCATCTTTGAAACGCATAATTTGTGAAATGTTTTGCGAAAATGTGGGACTTACAAAGCATTCGAACTGTACTAGTATTTTTGCAGTTTAACTTTATTTTGTTAATTAGTTTATTGTTTTGTTTTTATTTTATTTAAGTAGGTGTAAACATAAAGATAAGATTTTTCAAAACTCTTTAACGTTTGCCGCCTTTCTAAAGAACTTCCTTAACCACCATTAGACAGCCCTCTACCCTATTTTATTGGAGGTGCAAATTGTTTAAGTTTCTAGCAGGTTAACCCTTATGGTATTTAGTTTGCAAATTTGTTGTATAATAACTCTTTTACAAACGTATTGTGGATAAGAATAGTAAGTTTTGTTTCTTTGTTCTTTAGTAGGGTCTGACCCATAAATATTCGTAAACTTTTTTTCGCAAAATCTGCTGCCCCGTGTTATCCGAACTTGGTTGCCCAGTTACCTTCAAGCACCGTTATACTTTGTAAATAAATTAACTTTTACATTTTAATCGAATATCTGCAGAATTTATTGATGTTTTATTATTCCACTTTCATAGTTTTAGGAATATAAATAATAATTACATATTTTGTTGTAAAACTGTTTGACATTTTTCTATATAAACCTGGAAATTGACAAACATTATCGAATGCATTCTGGCACGTTGTCGCGATAACTTTTCCAGATTCTTGATTTAATAATTACACATTTATAGGAAATAACGACTTACTCACGAACTGAGAAAAGCTCTCTCTAATTAGAGAAGTTAGAATATAAACGTATTTTTTTTAAGTACAGATGTGTTAGTACATTTTTACATTTCAGGTTTAATCATTTATAAAAAAATCAACAATTGTGGAATACAAGCGTATCCATAAGAATTTGGAGGAGCGATGTAGCTAACGAAGTAAACGTCTAAAAAATTCTTAAAAATAATACTAGCAGTTTTTTCTCGAGATCCGGTCAGCTCCGGCCCAGCCGGTTCAATTATGGGGAAGCATGGCTTTCCCACACTGTTACAATACTCTTAGTAAAATTTCAAGATATTTATTTGTAACCAAGTTTCTATCACATACATAAGTTTATTTGTGTGACAGAGTAACATCAACATCGTTGTCTTTGTAATGTATTCGAGGCTAAGAAATTATTTTGATGAAAGAATAATTTAATAATGTGTAATTAAATATGTTGGGCGATCATTAATGGAAAGTGTTTTCGATCCGATTATCAAAATAATGGTCCGCACAGTGGTGTCCACTTTTTACTGTAGGTAAGCCTATCGGACCTCATTACGGATAAAACGCCAGAAACTGTGCTATTCGTATGAGAAAGCGGTAGGTATTAACGATATAGCACCAGTTTATGCATCAATTAATGTCAACACTACATAGCAACTATAATTATAGTGTCGTAGCAAAATTGCTACGGCGTAGCACTTATGTTTAAAAAACGTGATGCGTACTTAAAAACAGAAAATAACAAATATCATTCAGTTCAATTTACCTACAGAGTGAAGTTGTCATGGCTAGCTTAGGTATTTAACCAACACCTCTTTTGTTGAAACAGATTAAGGAAAACACAAAACATAATATCAATCCTAATTGCACTTAAACATAGCTCATAGAAACCGCCAGTAGTAGTCATTGTGCTTGTTCACTGATCTTTAACTTTTGTTTTTATATTTATTTAAACTTCATGCACAATGGGTACACAGGCGGACTTAATGCCTAAGATATTTTCTACTAGTTGATTTTGCCTTGAGTGATGTAGAGATTAGCCAATGTTCGGTGCAAGAAGCAAGCAAACGACTTACGAGATAGATACATTATATATAATTATGAGCCTATTATTAATTTACATATAATAATATATAAATAATGTTTTTAATAATAAACTTACCGATTTCTTAGTTTTATTATACTTTTAAACTCTTTGATAAAACTATGAATAAATGATTTGGTTTAATAAGAGTGCCTATGTTGAGGTAAATAATAACATTTCATTACTAATTACTATGAATTTATTACCACATTACTATTAATCGAGTCATTAACAAGGAAGCCAACACAATTATAAACAACTAGCAATTAATTTACTACTTATTTAATTGATTATTATCCATTATACATATAAATTTGACATCATTATTGTAAAAGACCATCGTTAGTATATTCTTATGTGAATTACTAATCACTCATTATGACTTTTCGTTGGGGGTACACAACAATGTTGTTATGACTGACCGAAATGTTAAATGTTTGTTAGAAATGAGTAGACGTCCAAAACTTGTAGTGAATTTATTGCTACTAAAGTAAGTAATGTTTTGCCTAATTGCAATATCGACGCTAATGACATAGATATATTTATAACTAAGGTCAATGTACAACATAGCTTGTGCACTTTTTATTTGGTATACTATAGGAGTATCTTTTTCAAACAAAAGGATTGATTAGCACATCACAAAAAAAAATCACCACTATAACACGAAAACATCATTATTCTTTCAACAGCATATTCACATCATATTTTTTATTCACATCTAAACTTACTATGTGTTTAAAAAATATTTCATAATTATATAAATGTTATTAAATGAATGATTATTTAACTTTATACTATTATATTATAATTTTACGAACTACTAATACAAATCAGGTATCAAAATTTCGAAACAAGCAACAATAAAGTAATTACTCATTACACTGATTAAAAGTAATCGTTTTTTTTTTGCTTAAAATTAGATATTTCTTAGTGTTCGATTGTAGTAGTGACAAAAAATAATCACTAGAATTTTTATATTCCTTTAATTTTGTCCAAATTAGGATATGGCAATTCGCTTCCAGATTTCGAAATGTGGTGATCACCAAAACAAAGTCCACTGACACAAACCCAGCCCATTTTAACCAATCACTGAGTTGGCCCTCAATTTCTTACCCCCACTCCATCGTGAACCGCCCAAAATCCTGCGTACACACAGGCAGCACAAATTATGCACTCAGTACTCACTACTTAGTTGGTGACCAACCGATAACCACTGCAACTGCAGCGTGATCTATCACTGACACAGTTATAAGTCAATATAGTTTGCCGTTATAATGGAATCACACAAGACATCGAAGAGTTCGAAGAAGGTCAGTCTTATTTCATTGTAAATTAACAGGATTATTCAAATCATGTACAATACATGATTTGAATAATCCTGTCTTGACTGCGTTTATTTTTTATCAGGACCAGCCTTCAACGTCCTCGGGTTCCGAATTATCTCGACCAAGGCGCGGCAGACCAAGCGGTGCAAACCGCATCCCTCTCACCTTGGTTCGTATAACTTAATGTTACAAGCACTAGTTGGCAAATATACTGTATGTGACTGAACAATATGTTAAAAAAACACTTTGTTTACAGGAAGAAAGACGTGCACGGAATGCACAATATGAGAGGGAACGCCGGGAAGATTTTGCCAAGGCCCAGATGGAATTGGTGGAGGCTGCAGGTTGCGACCCCAATGTAAGTTTTATAAAAACTTTTTTACGTTTCTAGCCTGCAACATTGGTTTGTTCGATATGTCATAGTTGGATTTTTTTGTTGTTGTAGACCTCGATGCCTCATTTGATGGCGATCGTCATTACCAAACTCAAGAACGTCACTGAGGAACCGAGTATTGAGGAATATAGGCGAATTAACGATAATCTGGAAGCGCAAAGTAAGTGTCTAAAAATTACTTGCAAAATGTCAATGTATGTAAGATATTTGTTTTGGTAAATATCTATCATAACATATGTATATTGTTACAGTTGCCAGCTGTATCGAACGCTTGGGGCTAGAGTATGTCGTAAGCGGTGGTGACGACGATATAGAGCCGGATGATGTGAATGTAAGATACACACATCCTTGATTTATTTGCCGTCAGAGCGACAAATCTGTTGTGTTACTACATATATATACAAATTATTTTTCAATACTGGTGATTTTTGTTTCATTTAACTTTTAATTTACAGACACGAAAACGCAAGCACTCGTGTGAGTGGAACAGTGATGAGGCGGGTCTGCGGCCTAGTGGCAAGCGACTGCCAGACAGGTGGATATCGGCCGCAGACCTAGCTGAAGCTGGGCCCTCCGTTACAGTGACACACGAGGTGCCACCGAATCCGGCACCATGTACATCCCTGCTGACAACTCTGCCAATACCTTCTCCGCAATCGTCACCGCTACAGCAAGAGACGATATCAGAACTCGATCCTCCTCTGCTTTTCAGTAAGTATTTAATTTGTTTTGTGAGTAATACATAAAAATGTATGTTTTTGTGTAACGAATATCTTAAGACTTGCCAAATTTATTGAACACAACAATATACTCACTAGAATAAATAACAGAGAAAACTTATATGGTCTTGTTTATTTATAGTAGAACAGCTCGAACTGCCAGCATCGCCAGTACTCCCAGAAACGCCGCCACAGCTAGAGGCGATGACCGCAGATGACGTGGCTTTGCTTTTCTGTAAGTATCGTTTTTGTATTAGAGTAAGTCGTTAAAACATGAATAACCTTTGCAGCCGTCTCATTTATTGCTACCCATATTTTGATTCAATTTGTAACAAATAACTTGTTTGCAGCTCAAGACGATTTGCTGGACATTTACGGAGCCCTAGACTCCGTAGATCAAGTATTTTGAAGAGTACGGAGCTCCGTGTGGCTCTCGGTCATCTTTGAAGAGATCAGCTAAAGCCATGGTAACCACATCTCCGGCACCTTTTATCGGCGGGGTGGCTTTCTTCTCTGGCTGTACGGGCTGAGAGGCTTTGCTGGCTGCCAGGAAGCAATTTTATTAATAAAAATATTATTTGAAACTATTTTACTTCTTTCATTTAATAATGATATATATATTAGACTAAGGTATATAGTATTAGATATCGTAACATATTATAATAGAAAGCTACACATTAGAATAGTCCATTAAAAAATTATAACTATTTAAAATAAAAAAATATTTTATGACCTAAAATCTTCCTCAAGAATTACATAACAAATAAATCGATTTTAAATTTTCCAATTATAGTCATATTGCTCTCCATAAATATTGTGCTTCTAAAACAAAGTGTTCTTACTTAAAAAAAAATATTCGGCTAGTTAGGTAATCTCTCACTTTATATATTGTTTGTGGTATCAAGTATCCTGATTTTCAGATTATTTTACGACAAGAGATTTTTTATGACTTGATTATAACTTAGATGTCCAAACAACTATTGCTAAAGTTTCAGTAAAACTATTAGATAAAAATGGTCGTTCTTGATCTTCTTTGTTTGTGATTATTCGTAAAATTGATTAACATTGTCATTAATTTTTGTGGAACCTGATGAATAAAACAACATTTCGAGTAGTTAACTGAGACATCCTATTCATTTATTGTACTTCTAACTACAAAATAAATAAGTTTATCATTAAACATGATCATACATTTATTTTTTTAGTATTTTAGAAAGATCTGTTTTTCTTCTTCGCATATAGTTCTTATGACCATATTAGTTATTTATCCAAAATAGAATTACACATTGTGCTTCAACGAATGACAGTAGTGTTGGCGTAGGCGTGTTAGTATATAATGGAAGAAATTAACAGAATTGAATATTTTGAAAATAAGTATGACCGCATTTAAGCGAGAACAGCTATAATTTATTCTGTTATTTATAGTAAACACATACATATTTTGCTGCTTACCTGCTTCTTAGCTTGCCCGGATACAGTGCTACCGTCAGTCAGTTCGAGAATGCGGCGCGTAAGATTGTGATTAAGCAATGGAAACAAGATGTTCTAGTTGCAAACTAGGACATCTTCTAGAGTATATATTCGTTTAGTAGACAATGTAAATGGTGAATAGTTTTAGAGGCTTGCTTTGACTGTATTTGTCATCGTTTCCACGACAAATATGAATTTCAAGAATTTACCAAGCTTGATCGCATCGCTTGATTGAAACATATTAATTTTCTTAGGTCACTTCTACGCATATACGGGTTTCACAATCATTCGACAACAACATTCCAGAAGTGTCAGTTATTACTTAGGTACTTACTACAAATCCTTAAACAAAGCATGCTCATCCTAATCACCCAGCTTTTACTAAAACATTTCCCAGAAACCATTAGAAGATTCTATTGAATTGTCTTATCTCTCACCCGAGGATCGCACACATTTTGTTATTTTCTTTTATTTTATAAGGAGGTTGCTTAAACATTTGACTTACTATTATTTCTTTAAATACCACATGGCCTAAGTTCATACAAGCCTTGCCACTTTTGGGTAAACAGGTGTTAACTAGTTCGATCTCCTGACACATGTGAGGTTTCATAAATAGATCATCAGATATTAATATAATTAATTGCTAAAGAAATAATTGATATTTACATTTTTCAAGTATACACATCACACATATTAAATAGGGAAATGTTAACAATTCACAAACTATTGATGCAACAGTAGCGTGCAGTCAACGGTCCAATTTATTTTTTACAGTTCGTGAATTTATGTTGTAAATATTCAATTTGACTTTCTTTACCGACTGTGCTCATTTCTGGCAAGATATTAATTATAATTAAGAGTGGAATTAAAGAATTCGAAAAATTCTGATTTTTTTGTGCTTACCCTTTGTTTTGTGATTTATTGTAGAACAAAAACCAATAACTGACGCGTTTTTAAAGAATTTTAGTTTTCGGGACAAGGATTAGACAGCCCCTATTTCTTTAAAACTATTTTATTCATGGTGCACATTATTCAGGCAGGAAGGGATATCTGATCCGTTGTTTTTTTATCATCTTAGTGATATAAGCATAAGAAGGAATTAACATTTATATTCCATTAAAGTATAGTCAACATCACCCAAAAGTTCGACTGGCAGAGAATGCATGTGCCATTTAGTCCATCTTAAAAATAAATAAATAAAGTATAAAATCCCTGTTTGAGCATCAATCAAGTAGTACTACGGTGTGTCGTAGCACTATTGCTACGGCGTAGTAAACGTAAGAGTACGGCGTAGTAATTAAAACTAGCTTCCGCCCGCTGTTTCACCCGTGTGGTATATTGATAAAAAGTACCCTGTATCCTATTCCGGAGTGTTTCATATGCCTGTGCCAAATTTCATCCAGATCCGTTCAGTTCTGTGCAGCAGTAAAATACAAACATCGTAATTTTTGCATTTAAATATTGTTGAGAGTGTTACAAGTAGCAATATACGATTGCTTTTGGGTATATGTTGTTCAATTCCAACCACCCACTGAGTCGAGTTTACTCAGGTATTTAATCGTTTTAACCTTTCTCTTAAAACAGGTTTAACATTTTCTTTTAAAATATTATTTAAACAAAACAAAACAGCTATCCCATATTACCATAATATTTTAGTATCTAGCTTTCGACTGATCGGATTTTTTAGAGGATAACGGTAAAAACTGACGTGTGCAAATCACAACGAATGAAAGATTGAGCTCAACGGTCGTATACTTTGGTTTTAGATAATATAGGGCCTATAAAAAAAATCTTTGTTCGCTTTGTTAAAACCACATTTTGTACCGGTTTTGCTCCTTTTAAGTAAACACACTACGCAGGTAAGCAAATGTTCATCTATAATTTCTTTTTATTTCGATTATTTATTAACCTTTTTTTATGATAACCGAAAACAGAAATGCCACCTATAAAACTCATAATATAGTTTTTAAATTTATTAAAACTTTTCTAATAATTCCGGAATGAGTCTTCAATTTTGCTATAAACGTAAATCCATAGATTACCAAATTCCTTGTTGTGTTCTGATTCATGAAAGATAATGTAAACGTTTCGTCTAACCACAAACCTGGAACGGTAACTTACCCCCACTACATTTTGTACCGCCCACAACCCCTGCGTAGGCGCAGGCAGCACGAATTTTGCACTCAGTACACAGTTGGCAAGCATCCAGTCGCCAGTGCAATTGCAACGCATTCTGCTTCGTATAACATAACAGTCGAGTTACATTATATTTGCGATAAAAATGGAACCAGTGCAGGTGTCAAAAACTTCCCAGAAAGTAAGTCTAGTTGTTTTGTAAACACAAGATTTTGTGTGAAATTATGTAATGTGTCTAAACTAATTTTATCTGTTGAATAGGGCCAGAGTCAGCAACCGGAGCCATCAACTTCTACAAGCTCCGGAACATCCAGGCCAAGGCGCGGCAGGCCGAGCGGTGCAAACCGCGTCCCTCTCACCTTGGTTCGTACAAACCATATGTTACAAGTAATATTTGACAAACATTATTATTGTGACTGAATAATATATAATATTAATTTGTACTGTGTTTTTAGGAGGAAAGACGCGCAAGGAATGCGCAGTATGAGAGGGAGCGGCGAGAAGACTTCGCCGCAGCGCACGCAGAATTAGCGGAGGCTGCAGGCTGCGATCCCAATGTAAGTTATCAAAATTATGCCTTTCTAGCTGAACGATTGTTTAAAGCGTTATGACTAATTTATTTAATTGTTGTAGGTATCGACGATTAACTTGATGGCGTTCGTAATCACGAAATTGAAGAACGCCTCTCAAGAGTTGAGCATTGAGGAGCATGTTAGACTAAATTCCAACCTGGAAGCGCAAAGTAAGGGTCAAATAATTTCTTGCAAAATACCAAATTGAAATATTTATTACGTTTAAAAAAACACGTGTATATTGTTATAGTTGCCAGTTGTTTGGAGAGATTGGGGCCCGAGTATGTGTTAAGCGGTGGTGAAGACGATGTAGAGCCCGATGACTCAAATGTAAGTCACACTCATTTTATTATCTTGTCCTCAGAGCAGTTAACATCTTATGAAATAAATTTAAAATTAAACTGAAATGTTCTTTATGCACTTTATAAAATACGAAATCGCTATTTATAACTTTTGTTGGTATTAATATATGAAACAACTTTTGTTTTGCAGACTCGAAAACGCAAGCTGTCGCAGGAGGCGTCTCAAGATGAGAAACGCATGCGGCCAAGTGCACAGCAAGTGCCAGTGAGTGAGAGTGGGCCAGAGGTGTCGACCACTGATCTTGCGGAAGCTGGGCCTTCCTTCCTTGGAACACACTCACTCTTGCCACCTTTATTTTTCCGTTAGTATTTGACTTTTTGTTTTATTTGTTTCAAACTATTTTTATTTTGTTTGTGACTCTCAACTTACCTTCTGTTTTATTTCTATAGCATCTCCAAATTCTTCGGAGACAGAGCTACCATCGCCGTCACAGTTTGCTCACCATACACCATCGCCACTGCTGCAGATCGAGACGGCGTTAGAACAAGAGATAGCTCTGCGTTTCTGTGAGTAACTCTCTTTCTCTCTCTCGTAAAAAATCTATTTGAGAACCCTGTTTACTCTCCTATAGTTTTATTGATTGATTTTATATTAAGCAACTTGTACTTTTGTTTTCAGCTCAAGACGACTTACTCCAGATTTACGGGGCCCTAGATTCTGAAGATATAATCTGAAGAATATGGAGCTCCGTCTGGTCTATGGTCGTCTTGAAGATCCAGGGAAAAGTGGTCACCGCATCTTCGTCGCCTTTTATCGGCTGTTCAGCTCTGGACTTCCTTTGCTAGACGTGCAGCCGATGGAATGAATGCGTAGATGGTGCAGTTGAAGTCGATGAAAAAAATGATAAATAAAAGTACAATTTGAAAAT